GTCATGATGGCAGCCCTCTCGCGCGAGTCGAGCCCCGACCGCACGAGCATCAGCCAGCCCAAGACCAGGCTAGGGAACACCTCCGGCATGTCCCCGAGCTCCTCCTCGGCGTCCGCGTCTTGGTCAGCAGCGCTCCAGTGGTGCGACTCCTCTTTCTCGTCGTCTGGCAGGCCGTCCGTGTACTCCCACGTCCATTCGCTACCCTCGAATGGCCAGTCACGTTCGACCTCGATCCAACGGTAAGGTCGCCCGGACCTCTTCCACGGTGGCGCGACCTGAACTGGAACTGTGTGTCCGAGCGCGCGTGCCAACGCGCGCCGGAGGTACTGGTACCCGGTCTCGAAGCGGTCCGTCCACTGCTGCATCGGCTCTAGCTTGCGGCGCTTCGTCTTGATCAAGAATGTCTCGAGCTCCTGGCCGACGTCGGGCACAGCCTGTCTAGAGCACCTGCGCTCCAGCCACGCCAGGAGCCGCTCCACGCCGTCGGGCCTGGAGAGCCAGCCAGCCTTGCAGCGCTCGACCGCGATCTCGGCCCGGCTCGTGAGCTTCGCCTCCAGCCGCGGGCCGCACAAGTACCTGTCCTCCCTCTTGGTGCCCTCCTGGTACTGGAGGGCCTTCCGCCTGTACGTCCGCCAAGTCTTGGGATCCCCATCCCAGCTTGGCACCTTGCCTCGATGATCCTCGGTCATCGTATTAGAACTCCGTGTCAACCACGTGCTCCTGCTACCATGCAAGTAGTCGGCGGAAGCTGCGCAGCGGTATTGATCTGTGTACCTTTTCTGAACTCCTAAAGCTCGAGAGCCCTGCTCACAGGGCTTCTAAACTCCCGTGCCTCTGAGCACAAGCGAGGGGGCGCTAGAGCCGAGACGGTAGCAGGCAAAATACATATGGAAAACACAATTCCATGCACAAACTGAAGCTATGCAATTTCATGAAACATGAAACATCTGTCACCCTGCTGGACTCACTCACTCATGCTCAGGCTTGCTCGTACTCGGAATTGCACCCCTGGGCCCTCGCAGACCCGTCCGGCTCGAAAAAGGATACAGAACGACAGTGTCTAGTGCTCCGGTCGTGATTTTTCACGCTGTCGCTGTTTTAGAGATGTCGGATGTGAGGGGACGACGACGACGACGACGACGACGACGAGGACGAGGACGAGGACGACGACGACGACGACGATCGCCTCGGCTACGGGGCCCAAAAATATGTACCACCACCGCCTCCCTCACCCCCTCCCTCTTTCAGGAAGAAGGAGAGGAAGAAGAGGCTGCAGGAGGGGAGGGGCATGAAGATGGTGGTGGTGGTGGTGTAGTTATTTTCTTGGCACCCGCATCGGCAGAGGCTCACCTCAATGACGACAGCGACGACGACGACGACGACGACGACGACGACGACGACGGCGGCGGCGGCGGCGGCGACGGCGACGACGACAGAGACTGCCCCTCTGAAGCCGCGCAGTGCCCTGGCGAACAGCGGGGCGATCTTCATCGGCGTCGTCGTTGGGGTCGTCGTCGTCGTCGTCCCGCCCTCGGCGTCGGGAGTCCACTGTCGCTAAGCAGCGCCACAGGAGGACGAGGAGAAGGAGGAGGAGGAGGAGCAGGAGGAGGAGGAGAAGGAGGACCTGGAGGAGGAGGAGGAGGAGGAGGAGGAGGAGAAGGAGGAGTAGACGGAGGAGGAGTAAGAGGACCTGGAAGAGGACCTGCAGGAGGAGGAGGAGGAGCAGGAGGAGGAGTAGGAGGAGAAGGAGGAGGAGGAGAAGGAACAGGAGAAGGAGCAGGAGCAGGAGGAGGTGCTGAGCTCCGTGTCAACACGCGGTACGGGCTGCGCGCTGCGCATCGTGGCAGCTGAGATCGAGCCGGAAGTCTGGGGATTGCGAGGCGAGCGTCGCAAGGGTGCACAGCGCATGCCAATGCGCAATGGGCGCATGCCAATTGCGCCACCCCTCCTGTGCGCGCCGCCGGGCCTTGCGTCCCTCGGGAGCCCTGGCGGCTCTGGCCGCCCGCGCAGCGACCAGAAAAACGATGTGAAAGGTCTGAGGAGGAGGGGGGGAGGAGGAGGAGGAGGAGGAGGAGGAGAAGGAGGAGGTAGTGGTGGTGGTGGTGGAAGGAAGAGGAGGAGGAGAAGAATGAGGAGGAGGAGGAGGAGGTGGAGGAGGAGGAAGCGGCATCTGCACCATTTTCGTGGGCGTCGCCTTGGGGGTCCTGGCGGGGCCTCCGCTGGTCCCCTGCCCCCGTTGCTGTTCCCTCTGGGGTGTCGCAGTTTGGGCGTCGAGCGCCCGGGAGCGGCAATTTACGGTTGGGAATGTTGGCTTAGCGCGTCGCGCCGCCAATTTTGGCCCACCATGCTTCTGGCGGCACGCTGACCACGTCCTGGCTCCCAAGCGTCAACGCCCCGAGCTTTCCCAAGCCTCCCGCCCCGCGGAGTGGAGCCACACGCTACCCGCTGGCAGGGCACAGCGTGTCGCCGAGACTGCCGCCCCGACGCGCTGAGCAGAAGCTCCCGCGCCCTCGGCAGGCAGCAGCAGCAGGCGGAGGAGGTTCCTCGGCGGCGTTCGGCCCGTCGGCCTCGGTCGGTTTTTCGGTTTTGCGTTCGCTTCCGTCGACTTTTGTCTGCACTGTCGCCTTGGACGGCCTTGCGCTCACGGCGGCCCACAGGCCACGGGGGGAAGAGAAGGGGGGCCTGCGAGGGAGGAAGGGCAGGAGGAGGAGGAGGAGGAGGAAGAGGAAGAAGGGGAGGAGGAAGGGGAGGAGGAGGAGGAGGAGGAGGAGGAGGAGGAGGAAGAGGAGGAGGAGGAAGGGGATGGGGAGGAGGAGGAGGAGGAGGAGGAGGAGGAGGAGGAGGAGGAGGAGGGGCAGGAGGAGGACCAGTGCAAGCCCAAGGGATCAGAGAGGCTTCAAGGAGGGAGCGTCGTGCCCCTCGCCACGCCGGCACCATGCCGCGAGAAGCACGCGGTGGAGTGCCCTCGGGTCCATTCAAGCCCTCTGTATGGGGTATTCTAAACTCAGGAGGGGAAAAACACACAGACACAACTAATCGTCGATCCCCAGGAAAATATTTGGAAATATGGGAATCGGGGGGGAAGACAAAAACCCAGAAAATTTGGAGAGAAAAAATGGGGAATCCAGTTATTTGTGTGTATTTAGTTGTGTGTCCTTGGGCCCCTTCATAAATGCTCTTTTGGGGGTCCGGGCCTTGGATTCCTGGAACTCCTGGAGGCTCTCCGCCGCCGCGCTACCTTTGCAGGAGGCATATGGAGCGCGGCCTGGACGCAGGAATTCCCAGCATACCTCGAGATAGGAAAGAGCGCGTTCTGTGGTCGCTTGGAGGGAGGGGGTTGGAACCGGACCACCCCCCTCCTCCCCTACTTCTCTCGCCTTCTCCTCGGGCTGGCGCCTGCGTCGGCGGCTGGCGGCGGCGGCGGGGACGACGACTTCCTTTTCTGGACCGGCGCCGGCGCCTGCGGCGGCGGGCGGCCGGCGGCGGGGAGCGTCGACGAGGACGACGGTGATGGTGGTGGTGGTTGGCTGTGGTGGTGGTGGTGGCGGTGGTTGTGGTTGTGGTGGTGGTGGTGTGGTGGTTTGTTGCGGCGGTGGTGGTTGTAGTGGTGGTGGTGGTGGTGGTGGTGGTGGTGGTGGTGGTGGTGGTGGTGGTGGTGGTGGTGGTGGTGGGGGGTGGTGGTGGTGGTGGTGGTGGTGGTCGTGGTCGTGGTCGTGGTCGTGGTCGTGGTCGTGGTCGTGGTCGTGGTGATGGTGGTGGTAGTGGTGGGTTGTGGTGGTGGCGGTGGTGGTGGTTGAGGGGTGGTATGATGGTGGTGGTGGTGGTGATGGTGGTGGTGGTGGGTTGTGGTGGTGGCGGTGGTTTGTGGAGGTGGTGGTGGTGGTGGCGGTGACGGCGGTGGTGGTGGCGGTGGTGTGGTGGTTTGTGGTGGTGGTGGGTTGTGCTGCTGGTAGTGGTGGTGGTTGTGACGGGGGTGGTGGTGGTGTGGTAAATTGTGGTGGTGCTGATAGTGGTGGTGGGTTTTTGTGGTGGTGGTGGCGAGTTATGGTAGTGGCGGTTGTGGTAGTGGTGGCTGTGGTGGTGGTGGTTGTGTGGTGGGTTGGTGGTGGTGGTGGTGGTGGGTTGAGGTGGTGGTGGTGGTAGTGGTGGTGGTTTGGTAGTGGCGGTAACGCCGGCGCCGGCGCTGCTGGCCGCCGCCAGCGCCGGGGCAGCGCTGGCGCGGGGGGGCTGGGAGGGGGGGGGGGGAAAACCCCCCCCTTGGGCTGCCTCTGGTCATCGTCGCTGCGTCCCCGACGTCGGCGCTGCTGGCGGCCGCCATCGCCGGCGCCGGCGCCGGCGCTGGGGGGGGGGTTCGGGAGGGGGGGTTTGGGGGGAGGGGAGTCCCCTTGGTTCTGATCGACGGCGCCAAGTGTTGGGGGGGGCCCAGTCCGACCCGTTGTTTGTATAATTACAAAAATGTATGTTTGATCGACCCCCTGGCGATTGGAAAGCTATGGATCATCAGTTTCCTCATCATGCATGTTCGTCGTCTTCTTTATTTTTCATATTCCCGTTCCTTTCTCTTCTCCCCAGGTCTTTTTGCAACGCCTTTACAAAAGGATTCGTTTTGTGGCGACCTTACAAAAAAAAAGATTTTACTTGTGGAGGATACGCAATGGCTTCTACTATGAAATTCCTGATGTAGCAGCCTGTAAAATGGGATTCTTTTTGTGCCGCCTCACAAAAAGGTTTTAGTAGTAGGGAATCTGCGGTAGCGACACCGTGGGCCAAGGAAAGCTAGAGAGGTAAACAAGAAAAACCAGACAAGCATGAAAAAGCTTGTGCTTTCATCAGGGAATATATATATATATATATATATATATATATATATATATATATACATATACATATATACATATATATCAGTTTCATGCGTCTTTATCTGCCGCGTCCTGCTCTGCCCGTACCCGTTAACATATGTGCTCAAAGTGCTGAAGGGGGCCCGCCGCCGGCGGGCGTGTATGGAGCATCTCTGGTCTCTTGGGCCCTCAGCGCTGAGGCTCGTGGAGGCCGCAGTGCTCCGGTGCCCCGCCTGTCCTGCGTGTCCTGCGTGTACGTGCCATACGGTCAGCTGTGCATTGACCGGTGCGGGGCCTGCCAGCACCAGCCAGATCAAAGTGCACGAGCGGGACTGGCTGGGCATCTCGATCGCCTTCCTCCTCGGCATCGCTCTGCTGCGGTGCTGGGCCTGGTGCTGCGCGGCCTTCGCCAAGCGCCAGAAGTGCTACTCCGAGGGTGTGCCCGAACCGAACGTCCCCACTCGTACGCTGCAGGTGCCGCCCAGTACGGCGACGGGCCCAGGGCTACCAGAGCAGCTCCCTGTGAACGCATACGTGGCGACGCCGTCTAGTCTTCGAGCGTAATGGAGCGTTATTTAGACATCAAAGAGTTTCAGGTGTTGGCTCACTTTCCAGACGATGCCAATGGATTCTACTGGCATGTGAGAATATTGTTGGTCAGGGCTGGTGCTGCAGGAGTTTGGGTTACACTCACGCCCACGCTGGATCTGTTCACCCATGATCTGAGTCGGATCCGTCACATCGTTCTAGCGCGGAGTGCGCCGTGGCCAGCCCGAGTCAATAGGAATGAGATCTTCGGCTTCGACCCCATCACGCGGGTCGAGCTCCATCAGTTCGTCCAGCTGGCCAGGGTGCAGGCGCGCGTGCTGGCTGACGACGACCGGGAGGCCGAGGCTCCAGACTTGGCATGGCTGCGCGCTGGCCCTGGCTTCGAGAGGCTGCGCGAGGTCGTGCCGCAGGAAGTGGTTGACGACCAGGAGCGCTTCACTGAGATCGGTGACTCGGCCGTGGCGGAGGTGAACGGCGCTGTGATCTGGGCTGCCAGGGCGAATGCTGGCGAGCGCGAGGGTTGGGTCAAAGAGCGTCAGGCTGCTGAGCGTGACGACAGGATCATCGGCGTGCACCTTCGGAATGGGAAGCGCTACATCATGCTCAAAGAGGCCTTGGCGTCGTACTCTCAGGCGAAGTATGACGACTGGGGTTTCCTGGGCCTCGTCTTGCAATGGAGTATATTGGCCTGGTCGATCAGGCAGGTGGCTTCGAGGTGTATGAGCGCAACTGGCAGCACGACTCTGGTGTGTATCCGGGCTCTGCTGCTTCTCATCAGCACCGCGCTGGCTCGGAGACGCTGCGCCTGCTTGTCGAGGTGGACCAGGTGGACGCACCCAACCTCCAGGGGGTCGAGAACCTCTGCCGCAGCCAGGTGCAGCTGGAGATGGCCGTGGAGCGCAACCCATCGCATCCCGACTTCACGGGGCTCGAGGGGCGCACGGGCGGTGCAGTCACCGCCTCAGGGGCGGCCAGCGTCGTCTCCTTCCGCGAGTGGGTCGCTGGGCGTCAGAAGGATCGGGCTACGGTGCTGAAGCAGGCCAGGCTGGAGCGCGAGGAGAGGGCCCTCATCGGCCCATCCGATTCCAGCTCGAAGCGTCTGCCTCGCCCGAAGGCCGACCCGAAGAAGAAGATGAAGGACAGCAAGGGAGGTGGCAGAGGCGGCGCTGGGAGCGCCGCCGGGGACTCATGATGCCTCTTCAGCCGGAGCGGGGCCTCCGCGGCGTCGCCCACGCCGCAGGAGGGGGAGGCCCCGCTCCTCCGCCGGGAGCTGCCCGCCGCGCAGTTCATCGGCAACTTCTGGGCGATCGGCGACATGGTGAGCCTTTTCCTCTGCCTCGAGACCCTCCCCCATCAATGCATGGACTCGAGATGGGCCCTCGCTATGTCAAGCAGCGACGGGCTCGGCAGATTTTGCGGCATGAGCAAGTGAATGAGGCGGCCGAGGCGCTGAATCACCTTGCTACCTCCACGACCAGGCCTACGGGCCCGATGTACGACAGTTTTGGTAGGAGAGCGCCCACCGCTGCTCAGGTCGCCGCGCGTCGTCGACTTCACCAGCGAGTGGCTGCTCGCGGGCGGGCACCTCCTGATCTTGATGAGCGGCGAGCCCTGGCGGAGCTCCTGGCATCACGACCCCAGCATGGACTGGAGCCGGCGAATCTTGCAGCTTTTGATTTTTCTAAGTTGAAGATCTGTCGGGGGTCACTCCACGATCCCCGATGGATGGCCCCCCAGCGGAGGCCGCGCAGATCCTTCGCCACTACGACACGCAGATCGAGCGGAGCACCGACGAGCTACTCAGTCTAGCGCCGGAGATGCCGGAGCCGCACTGGGACCCCACGCTGCGACGCTCGCCTGCCAAGCGACGACGCCTGTTCAAGCACCTGGCTGGCATTGGGCTGGTCTCTTTCCGTCGCAAAGCCAAGGCATTCTGTGCACCTTTTCTCGTGAAGGAGAAGGGGGGCGAGATCCGAATGGTTCTTGACTCCCGCCAGGCCTGCCTCAGTCACAGGCGGCCGCCCACCGTGCAGCTAGGCTCTGCACGGGCCATGGTTAACCTTGACTTGTCCGACGACTTTCTGAGCCAGTGTGGGGGATTTGGTGGCACGGCGTCCGCGCCCGTCCTCGATGGCGACGCCGACGTCGACGACTGCTTCTACACTTTCTCGAATGTCCAGCTCGCCTCTTGGTTCTGCATGGAGGCGGGCTACACCACGGACGACGCTCATGAGTTTGGAATTCTTCAAATTTGGGATGATGATCTCAGGCGTTACGACGTCCTGAGGCCTGGCGAGCAGCTGTTCATCTGCTTCGAGGGCCTATGCATGGGATGGTCATGGTCGCTCTACTTGTGCCAGAAGTTGTTTGAGAATCTTGTCGCAATGCAACACCCGCTCGGCCTTGAGGGAGTGCTGAGAGATAGAACGCCCGCCCCAGAGTTGTCTCCAGGCGCGTGCGCAGAGGGGGTCCACGTAGACAACTTCAACTCCTTCAGCGTCAGCGCCGAGGACTCTCATCGGAGCGTTGAGCGTTTCTGCAGCCTGCTGCAGAGTCAGGACTCGGGGCCCACGGCAGGCACAGCGCGGTGACCTACCTGGAGACCCTGGGCCTCGAGTTCCATTCTCGTTTCAAGGTGCTGCGTCACACACAGCGCCGAACGTGGAGATTTGCCCTTGCTATCAGTGCCCTCCTCCGTCGTGCGTTCATGAAGGGCGAGGAGATGGAGGTGTGGCTGGGCAACGCGGTCTGCATGTTCGCGCTGGCGCCCGAGCTGCTCTCCGCCCTGCAGGACTCCTACACCTTCGTCGCGGAGGCGCGAGGCCGACGGCTGGCTATCCCATCCAGTGCGAGGCTGGAGATGGAGCTTGCTCGGAGGCTGGTGTTCGTCATCGAGGCGGAGATCGGAGCTCCGATCTGGCGCGAGGTGCACATGGGCGACTCCTCGACCTTCGGCCACGCTCTTCTGTCTACGCCGTGCCAGGCCCAGGAGTTCCACGACGCGGCCAAGTATCGGGAGCGCTGGAGGTTCAGGAAGGTCCAGAGCCTGCAGCCCGCCAGGTTGGACGCGCCCGGCGCGGTCGACCAGATGGGCGGCCTCTCGAGCCTCGTGGACCCCAGCGACGACGTGTTCTGCGAGTCCACGGTGCCCGGTCGCGCCGCTGGCCTCATCTCAGGGGCCAAGACCAGCTACGGGCAGCACCTCCAGTAACAGGCCGAGTCGGCTCGGCAGCAGCGGCGGCCCTCTCGCAACACTGTGAGGTTACAGGCGCCGCCCCAAGTGGAGGTCCAGCTTGGCGAGGGCATCCCGCCCCTGGCCGACGCGTGGTCCAGACGAGATCGATGGACTACGCTCTATGAGCGGGAGTGGCAGTGACCAGAGGAGCACATCAACCCGAAGGAGGGTCGCGTCACCCTCCAGCCCCTCCGGCACTTCGGGGGGGGCGCCCGTGCTCATGGCCATCGCTACCTGCATATAGGCGATAACTTGGTGACGTTGAGTGGTTTCGAGAGAGGGCGGTTCAAAAGTCGCACCCTCAACACACTCGCCCGTCGCTCTGTCCCGTATCGTCTTGGATGTGGCATTGATATAAGATATCGGCATATTGTGAGTGAACGGAATGTTGCAGACGAGGGTTCGAGGCGCTTTGCTATCTCCAAGTCTCGTGATCGGCCCGTCGACCGTTTCGGCAACATCCGCAAGGCGGGAGATCATTGTCCAGAGAGTTCCGCTTTTCCTCGATGCCCGCCTACCTCCTCATCAACCGCGCCTTCGGCGACAACGCGGCCTACGCAGCGCTGTCCGCCGCCCCCCTGGGCTCCCACAAGTTCATCAGGAGGTGGCCCCAGTGGACGTGGTACGTCGACTTCTCGTGATGAGATGGTCTTTCTGGAGTTGTTTGCGGGCTCTGCGGGGCTCTCTCCGCCTGCACGGCGACTGGGGCTACGCGTTGGCCCTGCGTTCGAAATGGCTCGTGGTGAAGAGTTCGACCTCACTCGGCGTAGTACTCAACGGCTGCTCCTCCACTTGGCACGCTCCGGGAAGGTCTTCTGGGTCCACATGGGTACCCCGTGTTCTATTTGGTCTATATCTAGGAGAGGCATCAAGAACGGGGAACGGGCTCGGCAACAGGAGCTCGTGAGGGTCGAGCTGGTTATTTTCTCGGCCGAGGTCGCTCGGGAGTGTCAGAGGTGTAGGGTGTCCTGGTCAATCGAGAACCCAAGGAGTTCAAAGATCTGGGGCTGCCATCCGATTTACGAGCTCTGTGGGCTTCCTGAAGTTGTCAAGGTGGTTTCTGATCAGTGCCAGTATTCTGCGCCGTGGAAGAAGCCTACCATGGCGTTAACTAGCTCGTCCTATTTGTTGTCTTTGGAGGCCTGCTGCAAGCGAGATCACCAGCATGTTCATCTCACTGGGGGCTGTCGCCTTGTTGGCTCAGATGGCCGCGCCAAGTGGGTGCGCCGCACGGCTGCAGTAGGGGCGTATCCACCTGCTCTATGCCGCGCCTGGGCCCGCGCCATATGGCGGGCCGCGCCTGACGCTGGCCGCGGCGCCCAGCCAGACTGGCTCGAGGGCTGGGAGGCTTCTCTCAGGGAGGCCGTCGCTACCAGCGAGCGTCGGCGTCGTCGGCGTTCAGCAGCGGCCGCAGGGCGCGCCTCCGCAGGCGACCAAGGGCGCAAGGATTTCTTCTTCACGACGAGGGCGGCCAAGGCGACCAACAGGCAAAGCATCGACTTCGCTCGGGCTGGCCGCGGAACTACTATGCAAGCGCCGCCGGCATGATCGCATTGGCTCTGTGGGTGAGCTCAGACATCGCACGGAAGGTGACACTAGCCCTGGTCCCCTTCGCCGTGGCACGGCTGGTCTCAAGACACCCGAGCACTACCGAAAGGCGACTGCCGACTTCGCCTCCTGGGCCCGCTCGCGCGGCATGCCGTTGCAGCCGCCTCGGGCCTTGGCGAAGACCATGGAGCGCCACTGTGAGAAGTTGGCCCTTCCTGGTTATAATCCTGCTGCTGGTCGTCTAGTGGTGCACGGCTGGGTCAAGCTCATGTCTGACAATCGCAAGGCAATGCTAACTGACCTTGACCCTGTGACCGAGTCTCTCAAGGGCTGGCCGAAGCTGGTTCGAGAGTTCGTCGTCAAGCCTTGCCCTGAGGAGATAACTTTCCTGATCCTCTGGTGGCTAGCGGAGCATGACGGATTGGAGGCGGCTGCGGCAGGCATCCTCCAATACGACCTCTACGCTCGACCTTCGGGGATCCTCGACTTGCATTACGATGACGTCATCACGCCGTCGTCGACAGCAGCAGCACCGCATCGCAAGTGGGCCGTCGTTTTCGGCCCTTCCGACAGGGGCAAGCGCACCAAGACAGGCAACGTCGACGAGCACGTTATTTGCGGATCTCATGGGCGAGAGCGGGTGGTGGAGCTGCTCTCGCTGCTACACAGTGCAACGCCCACGGACGCGTTGCTGTTCCCCCACCTCACCTTGCCCTTGTATGAGAAGGAGATCCAGCGGGCTGTGAAGGGACGTGGTCTTTCGGCACCCAACATCACTCCTCGCGTGCTTCGGCGCTCTGGGCCGAGAAATGACTCGATGAGAAAGCGCCGCGCACTCGATCTCATCCGTCGACGAGGACGCTGGGAAGCTATCAAGAGTGTGCAGCGCTACGAGAAACATGCCCAGCTGTTGCCACAGATGCAGAAAGTACCGGCATATGTGATGACAAAGCTACCGCAGGCTCAGGGACTCCTTCGCGCTGCACTGCGAAGCAGGTTGCCGCAAGGTCTTCAGGACTGAGCTGAAGCATATCGTTGATTTTTTCTGTACCCTCCGTCCGTCCCCTTCCACCTCCATACTCGCGGTTTTGGCAGTGAGATGTTGGTCAGGAGTGCGAGGTGATGGTGCAGCTATCTCTCTGAATGGTGGGTTCAAACATGTGCGCCGACCACCTCGCCAGCGATCTGATCGCGCGAATTCTCTGGACCGCTTAACTTCAGGCTGCGTTTCGGCCTGTCCTCTGGAAAAAAAAAAGAGAGAGAACACGGAGAGGCTGACGCCGTACCCGAGGGCTTTGGGATATGTTGGCTGATCTATTTAGTTGATGGGCTCCTCGGGGCTCCTCGTTTCCTCCTGAAGATTGTGGGTCCTTGAAGAAGGCTAAACGACACACAGCGTCTCTGGGCAGAGTACTCAAGTTGATGATAAATTTCAGTCCCATGCGTCTTTATCTGCCGCGTCCTGCTCTGCCCGTACCCGTTGACACATGTGCTCAAAGTGCTCCTACCGTCTACCCCACCACCACCCTCAACTACGACTGAAGGTCATCGTTGTACTGGTCAGGTCAGGAGTGCGAGGTGATGGTGCAGTTATCTCTCTGAATGGCGGGTTCAAACATGTGCGCCTACCACCTCGCCAGCGATCTGATCGCGTGAATTCTCTGGACCGCTTAACTTCAGGCTGCGTTTCGGCTTGTCTTCTGGAAAAAAGGAGAAAAAAACAACAACAACAAAAAATAAAACAGACAAAAAAGGAGAGGCTGACGCCGTACCCGAGGGTTTTGGGATACGTTGGCTGATCTATTTAGTTGATGGGCTTCTCGGGGCTCCTCGTTTCCCCCTGAAGATTGTGGGTCCTTGAAGAAGGCTCATCAACACACAGCGTCTCTGGGCAGAGTACTCAAGTTGATGATGATGACATATATGTATATGTGCATATGAAATGTTGTGTTGTTTTTTTTAACATTCCTTGAACAAAAAGTGACTGACGCTATTCCAAGAATGCAAACGACCCAACAAGTAACATCTGTTTGTAACAATTCTTCCGAAAGGATCCCTTTTTTTGTGGCGGTCTTACAGAAGGATTTTAAGTGTGGATGATCTGCACTGGCCCCCACAATTCGAATCCGTTTTGTAGCAGCCTGTGCATAAGGATCCCTTTTGTGGCGGCTTGACATGAAGGTTTGAATTGTGGTGGATCTGCAGTGGCGGCACCGTGGGCCCAGGAAAGCTTAAGAGGAAAACTGGAAAAACAGGAAACACATGTAAAACACACATGGGTTCACAGGGGAAAACAGGAAACAGCTAGGAAAACAAGTGGCTATTTTTAGGGTGCAGATGATCTACATTTAAAATTATGTTGTAGCGGCCTTTACAAAGGATCCCTTTTTGTGGCGACCTTACGAAAAGGATTTAAAGTGTGATGGATCTGCAGTGGCCCGCACAATTCGAATCATTTTATAGCGGCCTGAACGCAGGGATTCCTTTTGCGGCGGCCTTGCAAGACGGCCCGGGGAATCTGCAGCGGCGGCACCGTGGGCCCAGGAACGATAAAGAGGGAAACATGTTTTAAATATTAACAGAAATGAGGAAACCTGTGTTTTCACATGGGGGAACAAAAAATAGGAACACTCTCGCGTACCATTATCTTTCAAATGCAAATGTTGTAAAGAATAGCGACAGTCACTAGTTGTCCTAATTTTTTCCAGTTGGGTGCGGCAGTTCGGCCAACCCCTTCTGGACTCTTCGTGGCGAGCGTTTTTGGGCGGTTTTTTGGAAGGCCCCAGGAATCCTGGATTCTTCGTAGCGAGGGTTTTTGGATGGTTGTTTGAAGGCTGTTGTCAGGATGACGGAAGGTTGTTTGGAAGATGTTTTGATTTTTTGGGGCGAGGTGTTGCGAAGGTCTTGTATAAGGTTTTTAGAAGGTGTTGGGAAGGTTGTTTGGCTTGTTTTCTGGAGGTGTTTGGAATGTATTGGGCGGTTTTGCTAAATGTTGGAAGGTTGTTTTCGGCCGGTAGTTGGAAGGTTTTTGGAAGGTTGTTTGGAAGGCGTTTGGAAGGTTGTCCGAATGTTGTTTGGAAAGTTTTCGGAGGACCAAAAAAAACTTCCAACAAAAACGAGGGTTCTTGGAACTTCCCAGAAAACCTTCCAATAACCCTCGTCGTGAAGAATCCAGGATTCCCGGAACCTTCCAAAAAACCTTCCCAAAATTTTCGTCGCGAAGGTTATTGGAAGGTTGTTTGAAGGCTTCTGGAAGGTTGTTGGAAGGTGTTGTGGAAGGTTTTTGGAAGGTTGTTGAAAGGTGTTTTGGAAGGTTTTTGGGAAGGTTGTTTGGTAGGTTCCTGAACGGTGTTTGGAATGTTTTGGACGGGTTCGCTAAATGTTGGGAAGTTGTTCGGGGGGTTTTTGGCAGGTGTTTTTGAAGGTTG